GACGCACGCACACACGCACATGTACACGGACGCACGCACACACGCACATGTACACGGACGCACGCACACACGCACATGTACACGGACGCACGCACGTACACACAAACTAACTCTCGACATTTTAGGCGCTCATCATCCTATGTATACGCGATCGAAGAGAAAATAGACGTGCCTTTATACGTGCATGGTGAGCGTGCGGCGCGCGCGTGTGTGTCTACGTGTGTGTGCGTGCGTGCGTGTGCGCGCATATGTGTGTGGGTGGGGGGGGGGTATGAGTAGGTGTAGGGGTGTGTCTGCACGTATGTGGGTGCGTGTGTGGGTGGGTGTGAGATTGCGTGCATGGGTGGGAGCGTGAGTGACTGTTCGCACGTGCGTGCACGAGTCTGTGTAAATGGGCGTATAAGCACGTGTGTGTGCGCGCGCGCGCGTGTGTGCGCGCGCGCGTGTGTGCGTGCATGCGTGCATATGCGCTTGTGTAGCTGATCTCAACTGTATCAGTCACTGAGCGTAAATAACCTTCCTTTACGAACAGCGTTCTCTTCCTTCCTCTGCGGCTTTCGCCTCCGTCACTGTCGAGCGGTTATCACGGGCAGTACACACACGCTGTTCGATGTACGGTGCACAAGCTGAAGAAGGTAGGTAGGGAGTGTCTACTTGAGTTTCTACCAGGGTGCCTACTCGCTGGTGGCGATGATATGACCGCTGATGGGGAAATCTACGAGCGAAACCGCACTGCCGCGCCGCTGCGTTAGCGCGATGAATAGAATAGTGGTTAATGAACGTGTATTGATCGATCGATTCGACCTTCGGCGGTGACAGATATGTGCGAGTACTCTTGTGATGTGCATTGATCCTGCAATCGGCTTGCATCATGTTTATGAGGAGTATGTTGTAAAGTGAGCGCAGGTGAAGAAGTTCTTCGGAGTGGAAAGTGTCGTGGAAAAAATTACAACGCCCAGAGTCACAAACACTGTCTATTTCTCTCGCTGGCTAGCTTGCTCTTTCACTCGTTCTCTCTCTCTCCCACATTGTCTCGCTCTGCCTCTCTCGGTCAGTCTTTCCACTGTACGCTCTCTCCCGCTTTTTCAATCTTTCTCTCACTCTCGCAATATCTTCCTCCTCTCTCGCTCTCGCTCTCCCTCTCCTCTCTCGTCTCTCTTTTTATCTCTCTTCTCTCTCTCTCTCTCTCTCTCGTCTCTCTCTCTCTCTATATATATATATATATATATTATAGATATATTTTCTATCTCCTCTCTACCTCCTCTCTCTCGCTATCGCTACTCTCATTACTCTCGCTCTCGCGCGCGCTGCTCTCTCTCGTCCCTCTCTCTCTCTCTCTCTCTTTCTCTTTCTCTTTTTGTCTTATCTTTCATCACTCTTTTTTTATCTCTCTCTCTCTCTCCTCTCTCTCTCTCTCTCTCTCTCGGCTCTCTCTCTCTCCTTGCTTTCTATAATATATATATATATATTGATATATAGATATATATATATATATTCGTAATCTCTTACAATACGTCGTCCTTCTCGGAGACGTTCGTAATATCTCTCTTGTAGTCTGACCCCGTTCTCTAATGTCTCTTCCTCATCTCTCTCTGTGCTCGCGTGCATACGCTCCTCCTCTCTAGTCATCCTCTCTCTCTCTCTCTCTCTCTCTCTCTCTCTTCAGACGTTCTACAGACTTCTGCTTCGTTCTGCTCTCTCTCTTTCTCTACCTCTTTTTGCTCTTCTCCACTTCTCTCGGTATCTCTCATCTATCTCTTTTGTTCTGTTAACTTGCCACCACTTAGTAGTACAGCTCTCCATCTTTCTTGTTAGCCCTCTCGTTTATAGCGAGGTACCAATCTATCTTACACCACCTAGATCACATCATTCTGGCGGGGAAAGTATATCGCAAGCGACGTATCTCCGTATCGACAGAAGCGCCGGGACTGCATTACTCCCACCACCAGGCAGCCACCAGGGCATATAATGTTTTCTTCGCGCCACTCGGCTGAAATAAGAAAACGTGA